CATATTATTACTGAAAAAAAAAAAGTCAGTAAATTAATGTTGTTGTTGAAATATTCAATTTATATGGAGAATCAATTTTTCATCGGACGTAAACAACCGTGAAGTAGTATTTATAGTTAAAGTATTTACATTATACCAGTGTAGACATTGATACATGAGACCATAGTATCATCTATCTCTTCTCAAATACACATAATCTATACGGTTAGAGAACGCCCCGGACGAAGAGCGATGCTAACGTAAATGTTCCCACGAGTGTCCGGAAAATGTCTACACTAACATGCAATACTTTGTTTAGTCAGCACATATTTACTGAATGATCAGTTTATCATTCACTTTGTATCAATTTATTATTATTTTATAAGCTCACAAGTATTATTGAAGGCGTTCCTGTGGTCTTCAACTTGAAAATTACCGCTCCTTAAGTAATTTTAAATTGTTTTTTATCGGCATTTAATTAGAAAAATTAAAAATATTTGTTAAATATTTATTATATGAAAATTTTATTAAACGAATTGTTTGTAAGTAAATAATTTTTAAATAATTATATTCAGATTAAATTCCGATAGTATTTAATTTAATAAAAATTAAACAATTGTATTACTTTTTTAGTTCGTTTCTATTCTATTATTGAGAATTCTCCACTAAAATAACATTTATATATCATGATCATATGATTTTAAGAGTTTTATCCAATATTTTAAAATTTGTATACACTTTTGCTTAAAAAATATGTGAATAATTTATCACCAAACTACCATGTTTTATGTTCTAATAATGTATAATTTTGGACTTTTGAGTTATACTCGGTCAGCATGCAAAATGTATAAAAATGAAAAGCAAAATCTGAAGATCTGTGGTGGGTATTTTAAGCGATGGGATTCGTGTACTCTAATAAACAGACCGGTTTCTTCCCTACCCACTCATCTTGCTCTCTGCTGACATGCATATGATAAATGGTTTTATATCATGACGATACCAGTAAAACAAGTTTTTCCAAAGTTACATTCACGCATAGGCTCCGGTCGTTTTATATATTCTATAATATGCACCAATATAAAGAATTAGTATCATAATAATATTTAATATTATGGTAAAAATGTATTTTATGACGATAATTATTTCTATCACTTATTTATTTTACAAATTACTCTACTTATATTTTATAAACCGATTCAATTGATCTATTGAGTTTCGCTACACATTTTATTCATGTGAATGTCTTTGTATAAAACTTCTGTAAAATGTATATATATTTTTTTCACTTTTCATAAGAAGTCTACAGACATAACAAATTGGAAAATTATTATCATTAATGAAGTAATTTAACTATGATCATTTTTAAAACCTGTTTTGTTAATTATTTTTTATAATCACAATAATGGATATAGAGATCGCAAGTGTTTTTCCCATTTACTATTTTAATATTTATAATTTCTCAGGAAGGTGAATACTTAATCCTGGCTCATTTAAAAGTAACTATCATTTATTATTGAAAAATTATTTTAATATCATAACTAAAAATTAAATGTAGAGTTATTGAAAACAAAACTGAAATTATCGTTGCATTGAATTGAATTTTGCCAAGAAAAATTAAAATGTTATTTTTTAAAACGGTTTAACCAAAAACCATATTTATTTGAAATTCATTGATTTAAAATAGCTTTTATTTTTTTTCTTGGCTTTTTTTTACTTGGGGCTACCTCTGATAATAAATTAAGCCTCGTCACGCAGCCACCGAATTATTCTTCACAGAGTACGTTCCGGAACGCTGCCGGTTAAAAATAGGAAAATAAAGGCAGAAATGTTACCCTCACTTTTGCGTTGTACCTTTTACTCACATACAGATTTAAAATGACACCTTGAATATCCGACTTGTCTCTTATTGTGTAACCATACCGCATGCTCTTACTGTCAACCTCTCGCTTCATTTGGAAGTAGAGGATAATTTAATTCTTTTCCCCGGGGTCGTAAGCGGAACACCATCTCAGTGTACATAAACCATTCCCCTTGGAAAATTCCTCATTCCCCACTCTCTTCTTCATGCCGTGTTTCTCTTTGTACTTAAAATTATGTATATACAAATACTTCTTTGGTTGTCACGTGAACTGAAAATTTATGCCGTTACTTTAATTGGTTCGAAACACAATGTCTGGTCGATTTTCCTGGTCTACACTCTTGCCCATCTCCCACGCGTTTATCATGCCTACAGGATCCAATTTGTTGGTAAGATGTACATAACACCCTTTGCTACTGTATAGTTCAAGTCTAAATAATACACCACCAATACATTTGCGTTTTAAGTGCATAAATCACTCGACGGGTTCAAACTATTTTGTGGATTTTACATTAATTCACACACCTTCTCGGTATGGAATTAAATTAAGGTATTTAGATTTTTTTTTCCATTTAACCACGTTTTTCAATTATTTAAATTCCACCGTCATTGTCTGTGCAGTTATCCTTGTGATTATTTAAAGCGAGCGTATTAAATACTTTAATTTTTAATTAAATACTTTTTCGATCTTTATTTCTTATTCTTTGGCATTTCACTTTACTAGCAGTACAACTCGGCGATGTTATTAGAAAGAAACCTTTTTATGAACGGTGTCAGTTTTTACCTAAGGTACGCGACTCCCTAGAGTGAAATCACACATATGGAAACTATTTGATTCTTAGTATTGCCTTCTATTATTATCTGTGTGTCTACTGTACACGTACAAGGGGTTTGATCGCCCGTTACTTTACTGTAGAGTCCCTGCAGGACACTACAACACAATAACGGATCTTGCCCTCATTCCAGGAATGTACCGTTACATTTAAATGGTTAGTCTTGTACCCTAATCTGGAGCATATACGATGTANACGGGTTCAAACTATTTTGTGGATTTTATATTAATTCACACACCTTCTCGGTATGGAATTAAATTAAGGTATTTAGATTTTTTTTTCCATTTAACCACGTTTTTCAATTATTTAAATTCCACCGTCATTGTCTGTGCAGTTATCCTTGTGATTATTTAAAGCGAGCGTATTAAATACTTTAATTTTTAATTAAATACTTTTTCGATCTTTATTTCTTATTCTTTGGCATTTCACTTTACTAGCAGTACAACTCGGCGATGTTATTAGAAAGAAACCTTTTTATGAACGGTGTCAGTTTTTACCTAAGGTACGCGACTCCCTAGAGTGAAATCACACATATGGAAACTATTTGATTCTTAGTATTGCCTTCTATTATTATTTGTGTGTCTACTGTACACGTACAAGGGGTTTGATCGCCCGTTACTTTACTGTAGAGTCCCTGCAGGACACTACAACACAATAACGGATCTTGCCCTCATTCCAGGAATGTACCGTTACATTTAAATGGTTAGTCTTGTACCCTAATCTGGAGCATATACGATGTAAACAATATAGGTGTGTACAGAATGTTTCACAACGTCATTTGGTATGTTATGTAATAATAGACTGATAACAAAATCACTTCATTATTTCTGTTATTTCTCATTGACGCATGTTTAATTTACTATTTCTTTTGGCACTTGAAAACAACAGCATTATACCAATAAAAAGTATTAAACTATTCCAGTATCAATTTCAATTAAACTAAACTAAGATATGTGTACTTTATAAGTGACTCGGAAGTGTTTACTGTGGTAATTTAAGATACTGCTGAGACATTTAATGGTATTTTAGAGAAATTAAAATGCAGGTAGGGTGTGCGGTCAAGTTGCATTTTCGTTCAGTAGCCTGACAACAAACGTCTGGCTCGTATTTAATCGAATTTTCAGTTTCTGCAAAATGTGAATTTCGGGTCGTTATTCGATCTTCACAACACATACGTGTGGTCAGAATAGAAATAAATAGTACAAAGTCAAGTTTTTAATCGGATTAGATGTGACTTTTATTTGGGGCTGCCGAATAAAGGAGATAAGCAAAGAGGCGTTGCCCAGCATCCGCCACTGGCAGGTTAATACCGCGAAACAAGCCACCAAGTCATCTAATCTTCTTTAATTGAACTCGTCTTTTGTACATTGGCTAGTGTACCCTAAGTAGGGTTCATCTAGACGGGCGAACGTAAGTTACGTATCCCCTACCTACACTACTTTTACGTTTGTTTTAATTCAATTATTTACTTACACAATTTATTTTGCGTGACCGCTGCCGTTTGTATAAAGGAACGTTGGAGATTTTTTCCGAAAAAAGTTTTCTTGTATTGCCCTTTTTATTTACATCGAGTTTAGTATGTAGTTTGGTGTGACGTCACACAACATGGCCGCCTATAACTCACCGTGGGCATGTAAGAGGTCATAAATCAATCGGTGGTGCACATGGCCGCCGCCACCGCGTGCATATGCTGCTATGTATCATACCATAGGCAGGTATATCCAATTGGCACAGAATCCCCTCTGGGTTAAGAGCGCCATTAGCGGATCGTTTCGTCTTGACCGTCATCTCCGTTAGATATTTAACATTGTGCGTATCTCAATAAAATTAGCACTAAACATATTTTTTGTGAAAAACCGATATTTTTTATTTCAGTATATTTTGAATAATTGTAGTATCTGGACGCTCGCCTGCAGCTTAGGAATAAATTTAATCTAAAATGTTATTCCTTAATTTTATACTGAACTACGCTGTAGGCACCACAAGTTTATGAGTTATTATTTTTTGTACTTGTTATGGTTACCGAATGTAGGCAGATGAGTAAGATGTAAGAAAATAATAACAGCAATACGACTAAAATATTCAATAAATTCATATGGAAAAGTAAATTTCTAAATATTAAGTTCAAATAAATAAATATAATATAGTATTACAATAAAAATATTGGTCAATTTTATATAGGTGCCCAATAACTAAGGAAACGGTTTTCTATTGTCTTCTTTGTAATAATTGACCTGTTTCCTTACTCACTGAATACTCTGTTTATGCATTAATGCATAAAAAATATTGTTCTGCGTTTTATTTAATTTAACAATTGACTATGATTACAGGTGCAAATGGGCTTAGACGTCGCGGTCGACAGACATACACTAGGTACCAGACTTTGGAACTGGAGAAAGAGTTCCATACCAACCATTACCTGACACGCCGGCGACGGATAGAGATGGCTCACGCACTGTGTTTGACAGAGCGACAGATAAAGATATGGTTCCAAAATAGAAGGATGAAACTGAAAAAAGAGATTCAAGCCATCAAAGAACTCAATGAACAAGAAAAACAAGCGCAAGCGCAAAAGGCAGCAGTCCTAGCTGCCGCTCAGGCCGCCGGTGAACGCTAAACACCCTCTACCCACCCAAGCCACCCTTTAAGTGTGCATTATCAACACAATTTTTATTATTATCGCCAATGAATAATAATATGAATTTTCCTTATCGTTTTTTTAACTTCTCGTCGCCATATTGTAATGTTTTTCGAGAAACTGTTTTTAATTTTGTACATACCTATAGTATATATATATTTTTGCTCCAACTCTGTCGCGTCGTCATATATACNATATATTTGCTCCAACTCTGTCGCGTCGTCATATATACTATTAAATTTAATTTGTATAGATATATTATAATACTTGAGCGACATCGTGTTTGTTTCTATACATAGTTGTGTTCATTCAGTTTGTATACCCTTATTTTAAATCATTTTATAGTATATAACATGTGTATTAAATAAAAAATTATATATTAAGGTTACTACAATATATACGTACGTGTCGCTTTGTATTTTCAATTAATTACGTTGTAAATAATATTGTATTGTATTTATATTTAAAAAGAATCTATTTGTACGTGAGTGTATGTGAAGTTCACCGAACGCCGCTTATACCCCTTCCCACCCCGTCCTGCCACTATCCCCAAAGAAAAAATACTATGCGGCCGAGCTTTGCGTGTGTTCACGACTAGCATGTGTACTAGCCGAAGTACCAGAGGTAACGAGTCAGGGCAGAGGAGCCAGAAGAAGACGTCATCGTGGCTTGTCTGAGAAGTGGTGACCGCCGCAGCCGCCTTAGATTCTCGGAATGCCTGCTTACATACACACACAATTCCTGTGAACGGATAAACGACGACGACGACGACCTAAGGTAAGTGGGAGACCACATTTTTATAGAAACACATTATTATTATACATAACTAAGAGAGATTCATATATGAACACAATACTCGTGAGGAAAATAACATTTTTTTTCCTCGCCATCACCAACTAACAATTTCTTTTTCATCCGCGTCCTTTAAAACATTTTGAGAATTTTGTCGTCCTTTTGTTTTGCCATTGCGTTGTCAGAATAACTGATTAGTGACCCCGACATCAGCAGCAAAAAAAAAAACACTAGTCGACGACCTTATGGAGTCTTCAACTCTGGCGTTTCAATTTGCTGTTGGGACGACAGCAAAAACTAGTCGCAGACATATATAGCTTGAGATTTATTTATCAGAGAAACTCTTTTTTTTTTTTAAACCTAATTTCAGTCCGTTTGAAAGGTTAAACCTATTCGTATAATATTATTGCTATTATACTGATTATTTTATACTATGGGCCGAATAATTTTTAGTTTATAAATAAATATTATTTTTGAAATATTAGGATTGAACATATCAAGAGTTTAAAATATTTTCAGTAATCACCTGTTTTAAATGTTGGAAAAAACCTTTTCGGCGGTTATAGTATACAACATCATATATTGCTGACAAATTTAGTCTGTGTCAAGTATGTTTTCTTTGGGTTATTTCATCAAAATGACCATTCAATTGTACTCTAGCGAATTTCCATAATAATACAAGTAATTTTAGCTGTTATACGTCTGTATTAATGTATAATACCATATAAAGTACAATAAAGTAATAAATATACATGCATTTAATATACTCGAGTATCTAAATGGTCATTGGATTTTACGACTTGCGGTCGGTCACCACAGCGACTCTACAAATAACGACGTGGTGGAAACGATGTGATGGTTAGAAGCTCGTAAAACGCGTGCCTTAAACCAAAGAGCTATTGGGGGAGGTTGGACAAACGATCGGTTTTATTAACATCGCCTCAAATGATCAATAAACATGTTTCACCAAACATGTTAATGATTGGCTGCATCATGTGATAATAATAAATAAGCTGACACGATTCTAATTGTTTAAGGTCGTAATACTTTATCTTGAAAATGAATAAACTCAAAGCACAAATTATTTATAATGTTTTAAGATAAACATAATAAATTATGCTGCTTTGCAAAACAAAATTAATAAATCAATTATTCATCAGGTGTTCTTTGTATACAGTTGGTCCCGCATTTTCTGACAAAGCCTATAACTTTTCATAAAGTGATTATTTTGCAGTTTTTTTTAAAATTAATTTACGTTTTAGGACTACAATAAAGCAAATAGTTATAATAATATTATTTGAAATAAATATAAAAATTAAAATTTTGAAAATTAAATTAATATAAAGATATTTCAATATATCCATTTTATGAAGTAGATTTTATGCAAAAATTGGGTAATTCAATTTTTAGAAAACTCATAACATTTTTCACTAATTTTCAAAAAAAATAAAGGAATATTTTCACACTAAATATTGATTATGGGCATATTTTTTTCCATAAAAATTATTGTCACTTGAATGAGTACATAATTGAAATGAAAAACGCATATAGTAATATTTTATTATTATTGATCTAATAATATCTCTTTGGTATTACTTTATCACAAGTTATTATAAATAGTATGTATTCAAAAATTTGCCAAATTGTCGAAAGTTATGAAAAATAATATTTTTGTTGAATTATAATTTACAAAAGTTATTTTACTGTTTCAGTAGTTAAGTAGTTACTATAATTATTTTAAAAATTATTTTATTTTTAAAATAATTTTTTAGTTAATAGATGAATACAAATAAATTAAAAATCTGTTATGAATAAATGTTTTTATTGTTTTTTAGACGTTTTATTTAAAATGCAAATTTTGTTTGAATCTGTATTTTTAATTAAAACTATTGTATATTAAAACAAATTGTGACTTATTTTCAGTAAAACAATTTTTCTATTTTATTAAACATTTTACAAAAAAATTAATATTTTTGCAATGTACATATATGTAGATTTTATTTTGAACACAATATGAAATATGTGTTTGTGAAGTTTTAATCTATTTAAACGTTTAAAAATAATTTACCAAATTCGTTAAATTTATTTTAAGTTTTTCACTCATAAATTACAAACACAAATTAATATCGCACATATTTTTAATGAAACCACAAAATAGCAATGAACAAGCTTATCGATTTAAATTTAACATTATTTAACGTTATAATGAAAAATTACATTTTTAAATAAAATATTACTAATAAAATACTTAGTGAGAAAATAAATTGTCAATATAAATAATTGAATTTAACAAACGTCTTATTATCGATGATGTTTATCTATTATTAATTTTGAATTTGATAAAATAATACTAAAATGATCTTATTACTAAAAAATAATAATATTTCTTAATAAAATTTGGTTTTTTAATACAATTATGTACTAATTCCTACCAAAAATGATAAATTATTTTAAGTTGCTCCTATAACCAATATTTTTTAGTATAAATATATCGCGTTTTTTTACCCTTTTCCTAAGAACAAATTTCGACGTTTGATAACATGAAATATACATAAAAATTCAAGTATTCACTAACTTTAAATTACCTTTAAAAATTAACTACAAACCATTAATAAAAAATTTTACCATCCAATTTTTACTTAAAATCTACTCTACAAAATCTTGATCATTTTTTTAATTGATATCTTAAATTTTTTATTATTTTTTTTTCATAAATTTAAAAAATATTATAATTTATAGTATTATTGTAGTCCAAAAGCATAAAAATAAATATTCCACAATAGTCACTGAATCAGAAATTTATTAGAACATGTGAGACCATTCTATATATTTTATTTTAATTTTCGCCATNCACAATAGTCACTGAATCAGAAATTTATTAGAACATGTGAGACCATTCTATATATTTTATTTTAATTTTCGCCATTTTGGTGACTGATATATACAACACGCTAAGTTTCTGGGAAATTTTAATAAAAGGACTAGGTAAATTTTAACATCAAATCTTTAATTTTGTTAAAACAAGCAACAATTATTGTTTTATATTTTCCGGTAAACAAGTAAAAGAACGAGCGCTGCCAGCGTATAACCTAATTTTAAAACATCACTATTCCTACCTCCCTATTTCTTCTACTGTCATGATATCATTATTTATTTGCTCTGAACCTTGCATGTTTTAAACTTTAGTTAGTTTAGTTTTATTATTTATTGTTTGTTACTGTATTTTATTTAACTCATGATGAAACTCTTGTGTTTTAGGTCAAACTAATAACCATATACCTACGGTCGAAGTGAACGTCGAAACTCAGAAAAAAAGTTCCCTGTAGATCAAAGAGTTAATTATTATTTATTTGTTTTTTTTTTTATGTATAATTTTTTATATGATTTTGTTATAAGTTTCTTTTTTGTTCAGGAAAAAAATAGTATATTTTGTTTTATTTTTAATTATATTTTAAATATATTTGTATACCCCTCAAATGATCCTCAATAAGTTATACGTAATACTGTAATAATACTTACATTTAGAGCCACATTGTAAAAAGTTTAAATATATTAATTATTTATAATATTATTATTAAATATTAATAAAATGAAACTACTTTTAGTGAGTGTGTAATAAAATATGATGAAGATGATAATGTTTATTTTATGTTTCAATTTTCTTTCATTGTGAAACCAAAACGTACCGATATAATAAATAATACTTTAAGTACTATTAGAAGATTATAGAATAAAAAAAAAACTGAAATACCATTAAAACGTTCACGGTGTTAATTATTATTCTTCTATATTTTCCTATCTACTTTTATAACTTTATTGACGTAATATTATTTGTATAATTAATGTTGATTGTAACAATCTTAACGCTACATCTGTCCAAGTTTAGAACTTAAATAGATACGTAGAGATATTAAATGGTGTGATTGTCCAATTTTATGATGAGCAATAAAAATAAAGCTCAAAAATTGCTTAGGTTATTGCGAATGGTATCCAATGTTCATTTACACATACTCTACATTTAGTATCGTGGCAAACTTCAACCCTTCGCCACTGAGTTAATTATTGACCACCCGACGGTAAATTACAATGGCACAATTGTATTTATAGAGTTGTATAAACAATTTATGTCTTCGATATCCATTCCTACCCGTTCCTCTCCTTTTTGGATACAATTTATACGTCTGTTACATAACTGTTAGGTTGGGTTTTTTTATTTTGGCAGTCTGTTCACCCCTTTGCTTCATAGCACTACGGCTACCAAATCCAGATTATATGTGTATTTATTATGCCACCAGATTGGATTGAAGTTTTAAATTGCCTGTGTGACCCTTAAGCGTAAACAACCATTGATGCAATAATAATTTTTATCACTAGAGCTAGGAATTATATGGATTTATAAATTTTGTTAATTTATTCTGAACACGCTAACAGTCAGTACAAATTTTTATTAATCGACTTGAAACTTAGTAATGTATTGTTATCGAGGTTATAGTTTTAGGACGAATATGGAATTTTATCCCCCTAAAACAAAAAATATTTCACTATATAATCCTATGACCATGCTGCACACACTTAGAACCCTTCAAAGTGGCTCAAACAAAATTTATAAATGCATGTCATCCCGAGCCCTGTAAGACTAATATATATAGATATATTAATTACCAATATTTGATCAATCATATACAATATATCGACTGTTTGTTGAGCAATGAATTAAAATAAAAGTTTCGAGAATATTGGAGAAACATCTAGAATCATTTTTCAACATAAATAATTTTCAATTTTAAAAACACTTTTCTGACCGACAATTATTTTATCACTTTTTACAAATATATCGAACATTCGGAACGATGTTTACAGTAATGTCAAACTTTTTAAATACCATAAGCGTATTTGTGGCGCCGAACAAACGACCGGATAAAATAGTTAAATTCTCAAGAAAAACTAGTCTTCTAGTTAATCACCTTACCAACTAGTTTAATATAAAAGGACTAGGAAAATTAGCACACCAGCTCATTCTCATTCATCATTCCCCCATACTCTTACTCTTTCATATTAAAGATAATAATGTATAATTCATGTTACTTTTGTTAACCTTAATTATAAGTCTTACACATTTGTTAAAATAATTAATTCAAATCATAGAAATAATCTCAGTATGTTTCCCCTCATACCAGTATTTTTATTAACTTAAAATATAGACGTCAACAAGGAACATCATAATTCATCATCTATTTTCGAGTCCATCTGGATATCAAGGTAAGTGTAGTTGTAAGACATGCCCTTTATTTTTGTAATATTAAGAAATGGGAATGAGTGGGTAAGAGGTTGGATTAAGACGATTTGACTGAATCCAACACAATCCGTATAACAACTATAACACCTCCCCTTTTTCTCAACCATCGCGCTTTTCTTTTTATTACAGATTGTTAATCGGCCTGAACGTAATTTGATCAAAAATGTTCAGACTCAGTCGATTTGAAGTATCCATAGGTTATTTTCTTGATTTTAGGTAAAATAATTTGTTGATAGAAAAGGCACTTACGCCAGTTAGCCTGCAAATAATCGATATGCAAGTCAATACAGATATTACATAGATGACTTAATACCAGACTCAGTATAATTATTGTCAAAACAAATAATTTAATTTNCAGTATAATTATTGTCAAAACAAATAATTTAATTTGATATGTTCAAATATTCTATTCAAAAATGACGTCTAAAATTTAAATAAATCCATGGAACAATAAATATTAATTCATTTTTATAAGTGCCTCGAGTGTGATGCTTTCATATCATCACATTGATGTTTTATAATTTTTTCTAGATAGTTAATTAAACTGTTTATTGTACAATACGGATTTAATATATTTTTGATTGTAGTCAAAAGAATATTTCAATAATAATTTACCGAGAAATCATTTAAATAGTCAGAAATTCTAAAATAACAAAAAGGAGCAGTATATTTTAATTTAATTTTACATTACTTTAGAAATGTGTTGAAATTGAAAAAAAAATTGTTTGAAGTATTATTCATAGGCAATTACTGGAAATTATTTTTCTGTTTTTAATATTGTTTTTATATTTTATTTTATAAAATTATTTAATCAAATAATAGAGCTTTTCATTAATACATTTATTTATTACAACAAAATGAGCATAGGTAGGGTGTTTTTCGAGGTTGTTGACATTTTTTTGCTTGCAAAAACTGGTAAATGTCAAATGAAATTATTACTTCAGTAACAGGGGTCTGCATTGTTTCAATTTTTAAGTCACACTTTTGCTGCGTTTCTTTTGTTTATAGTAGGTATATGTCAGGTTTAACCTTTATACCTAAAGCAACATTTTGAATATTATTTATTGCAATGAGGAGTGTGCACATAACATATTTTTATGCAACTTTTTATAAAGCGAGAGAGTGGAAACGAAAATGTAATAAAGCAAACTTTTTAATAATTTATTCAGTAACTACAACCAAGACATTCCATTTATTTAACAAAATAATAAATTAATATTATTTATTGCTCTTCCTTTTATTAAAAACAGCTGTTACATTAATCTTAAATCTACTTTAGATTTATTGAATAGTAAAGTAAAAAATAAGATAAAAAAAATCTTTATATATAATAATACAACGAATAAATGTCTTGTTGCAAAATGTTTTTTAACTATCTAGATAGTAATGTAATAGTCTAAGTTAATTGTTTATAAATATGTTAATTACATAATAATATATGTAAACTATATTTTTTTAATGTCATGAAAATTATTTAGTTACGCTTGGTTTGCTAACATAGTCATTATTACAATCTAAAAGTTACTGAAAATATAAAGTTAAATTATTTAATGAATAATTTATTTTTTAGAATATTATTTTTTTTAATTAAAATCATTATGTTACATTGCTTATTTAAAATATGAATATTGGTATCAAAGAGTAACTAAATGAAGTTTACTTTTGGTAAAACTGAAATGTGATAAAAGTCTTTATCAATATTATACGATGATAAATTGAAATTATTAATAAAAAAATAAATTCAAATTTTCACTATACGTATTAACTTATTCACTATATGTGTTAATCACTTTTGTCAATATTTTATATTCCCTGAATATCGGAATTCCCATCCAAAAAGGTGTCTAAAATTTTTGTAGATTTATTAATTTCAACATTTTTTTTTTTTTTTGATAAAAATACAATAATAAAGAAAAAGACAAGAGCGATTTATTAGTGAACACAATGGTTTAAGCACCAAACCAGCCTGGGATTTCAACCCAAGATTTGAAACATTTAAATTGTAATTATACGCTTGTATATAAACATATTTTTACTGTACACAACATTATCCCACCTCTTTCAGACTTCCGGTCTTACATTATTTTCCCTTATATCAACGTACCAATTTCAACAACGGTTGGCTACATAACATTACCATGTGACGGATACTTTTGGGCTGTAACGCTTTTACGGTACTTGAATTAGCTATTAAAAATTTCAAAGTAAAATAAAAAACCACTGAAGTTACCCTCGAAGTAAAAAAAAAGTACTAACGACGTTGTTCTGACTAGCATGAAATATAATATTGGTTTCTTACTTAATGTCTCCACCATATGGTGGCACAAATATGATTTGCAACGTATTTCCAGGGTCCTCGTAAATTCTTTGTAAAGTTTTTCACTGACAACAAAGCTTTACTTCCTGAGCACGCCATTATATAAGTAAACGATTGAAGTTTTGTGTAAACGTTTTTATAAAGTATATCTAGCATGAAACGAAAAAAATATGTACCCTTTTTGACATATGTGCAATATCCACTTAACATTTGTAACACTTTGTAAACATGTATTCTCATTTATTGTTCATCAACAATTTTTGTACCCTAAATTGTAGGTCCGAAAAATTAGTTTTACTTTTTAGTAATAACTTGGATAAAGACATTAAAACATCAGTAACTGCAATAATACTGAAAAATATTTCTTACCGAGAAGTTTTCCTTATCAAAAATGCATTTTGTTAGGAAGTTTAAACTTTATGTTATTTTAATGAACAATAACGAGCTTCTTTATTTTATCCATTTGGTATTTTTTCTACTAAAAGCCTAGTAAAATATTACTTTTTTATACTCACATTAAAATCTTTATGCATTCATAATTTATTGTAATATAGATGTCTAGTAAAAAAAAAAAAAAAACCAAGTTAATTTTTAATAGTTAATTTTTTATGATTATAAATTTTTTTACGCCCATTTATAATATCTATGTTGTAAGTGGTGATTTTTTCTTTTAAGAAAACTCCATTAGTATCAAAGATCAAGAATAATCCTTCATGTTTTTATAACGTATATTTTATTTAGTCACTTAATCATTATTTGTTGACCCAAATTTATCCCAAAATCCCTCCCACAATTGGCACATTAATCTCTCTCTCTCTTATTTTTTTAATGTGAAGGGCATTTAGCACGCTACCGAAAATAGTAATGTTAGGAAGGAAATAGTATAGAAAAAAAGGCCGAACGGATTGAAGAAAAAGGCCTAAACTTAGTCCAGAAAATCTTTTTACTCTGTAGNGGCCTAAACTTAGTCCAGAAAATCTTTTTACTCTGTAGTACATTGGAATAATTTATGGAGCACCAAAGGCGGAGTAAACGACTATATAGCAGGCTAATAAAGCAGTCGGCTGGCCTTTACAAAGCTCTTAATTATAACGAGGCTTCCGATTGGATGTCTACAGGGTTAGCCTGTTAAATATACAGCATGGGACAAAACGAAATGGAAATAAATGTAGCGGATACAGAATTGGAATCTTATTTTTTCTTCAATGTTTGTCACAAAATAATATATATTTTTTAGGAAACACTAATTTATTACAGCATTAGCTACGATAAAGTACTATGTAATGACTGAAATATACAGCTCTATGTATCTTATACTTCTGTATATTAAATATATGGCAAAAATGAAATATAGTGTCGTATATATAGTAATTTATGTTTAAAAAAAACTGGTAGTACTCAATAATAAAGTTGACATTAAGAGCTTTTAACGTTATAAAACGTTATATACCGAGAGATATACTGCAGAAGTAGATTTCTTAATATCTGTTATTTTTTAAAGCAATTTTCAATAGAATAAAATAAATGTGACCCAGATTGCATCATGAAAATTGTAAAAAAACGCTTGTTTCATTTATAAATTGCCAATGTTTCATTGCTAAACTGTTATATTATTTTGTAACAATGTTGTTAGGTTATTATAAAATTTTAAATATATCAATAAATAACGTATTATTAAATGAAACGTTCTTAAAAAAAAAATGCTAGCAAATTTTTAAATAAGAATGATGAATTTCGGTACATATTATTTATTTAAGACTCTTAAAAAAGAAAAAATAATTTTATTTAAAGTAATTCCTCAGTAATATGAGTTTATTTGTCTTTTTAAAGATTTTGTTTATTTAACATTCACATTAAATTCTACTGTCTAATTAATCTGTATTAAGAAAATTACCTTTGTGCATGGGGTTAACAATGTGACAGCAATATTGATTTAAATAT